CAGCAGGGCAACCTGCTCCACTGCAGGGAAAATTATTTCCTAAACAGTGAGAAAGTTCCTCCATGTTTCTGGAAGGTTTATATCACAGCACTCGCTCACTTCATTGCAATCTCAACTGTGATACCTCTTGCATTGTTGTGTACTTTAGATGCAGTGTGACACAGGAAAACACTGAGACAAATCATCCCCATAAGCAGCACAACTGCTGCTACACACATCAGCTAAAAATATGTTTGTGATGCTGTGATTCTGTATTACCTCATAAATTCAATGGCTATAAAAGACAAATATATAAAATGTACAAACATTACAATTCATTAGCAGTAGTTGGATTTTTTAATTGTTGAATTAACATGAGTGCTGAGATGACAAACATTTCGATTTCCTAGCCATTAAATAATCAATGACACTTTAGTGCTGCATTGCTCATTACTTTTTTCTACAGCATTTGTAATGGAACTGTAACTGCACTCATTTAGCCTGAAGCATGACATCTATTTTCAGTGCATCTTTTTCTTTTGCTAGCAAGAATACACTAAAAAACAGCATGCATTTTTTCATATATATATTTATTGTTAGAACGCCTCCATTTTTAAACAAGCACTATGATAACAGTTATTAATTTTAAAAATGTCTGTTTAATCACATACTTTTAAGTAACTGGATAGAGTTACACACACTTGACATCAATGAACTCAAGATTAAAAATATTTTCAGCGGTGGCTTTTCAAAATATTATAATACTGCCATCTTTTTTCTTAAAGGATGCAGGACTCCAATTCCTCTTGACCATATTACTATGGTATTGCTGCATTTTTGTTATTAAAAATACAAACAACTTGAAAAACTGCTTTTATAGAAATGACCCTTAAAAAAGCCACACAGATTGCAAACATTTATACCATTACCCTAGGATCCAAGATGGTAAGTTTATTCCTGGATAGCAGTAAAGGCCTATTTCACATTTTCCTTGCTGACTGCAGTGCTTTTGAAGGAAAGCTGTTAATTCTGTGGCAAGCTTAACCACCGCTGCATACGTGTAGGAAGTTGGGGGTTTGTCATTGCATTCATCAAACCAAACTGCTTTCCTGTCAGGGTACAGGCTCGCTGCCCGAATCACTAGTTCCTGAAGAGTCATCTCAGCTGCATATCTTCAGTCCTCCTGAAAGATCAACAAACAAGACTGCACTGGCATCTCCTAACTTTCAATGCTTTAGCCAAATCACGTAAGAAAACAAAAACCTACCAAGGAAAAAAACGATCCTTGGCAGAAAGCACACAGCTTCACACATTATATGGCAAAAATCTAAAGCTTAATGCTTTTATTGTTTACCACGGGTCTCATCCTACGGCCCAGGATCCAGTAATTCACTAAGATTTCATTCCACAGAGGTAGTTTGCCTACCGCCATTACACCTTTCTGCTTAAAGCTGGACATAACTGAATTAATAACTATATTAGCACAACCTAATTAATAATCTTCTTATTACTAGAACTGCGAAATACTAATGTTTCCTCTGAAAGCAGAAAACCTAAGGCGTCGATTGCTAAGGCCAGTGCACATCTCTAACTCTCTGCCCGACGGAGCCCTCTTGTCAGGCCCGTACCGGATGACCGAGCCGCGGACCG